CAAGAGCTGCGCTGGCGCACTTTAGTCGGTGTTGAATTTCCGCGTCGATATTTGCTTTGTGGAAAGATGACTACCAAGGTCTGGAAAGTATTCTATATTTCTAAGAGGTGCTCCATTGATAATAATTAGAGCTGGATCTGGTGCATTCGTATTTGGGGCAGGCTGGTATAATTTTTGTCTTTTCTGTATTGAGTTCTAGACGGATCCTATCGTATGCTTGCTGAAATGCACTTATGATCAGGTCCTTCTCTTTATTTGCCAGGACACCGTTATCATCAGTATATTGAAACTCAAAGAGTTCTTAGGTATGGATACCTTGTCCTTGGCTTGAAGTCTGCCTAGATTGAATAGCTTACCATCAGTTCTATAGGCAAATTTGAACGCCCAACGGTAGGTTTTCTTCTATCGAATTGAGTAGGTACGGCTTCTACAAATATAGAGAATAGCTGCCCGCAATGGCAATGACACATTTTTTCTTGGTTCCGGTTTTGATTTAAAGGTTTCTCCGGATCAATTGTTGACATGGATTTATTATCCTACTACTAGTCCTAGAGTTCTTGGTTCAGATTTGTACAGGTACAATAATACCCTAAAATTAGATCATTACGAAAGCGAGAAAATACGCGAATTCTTAAAAACCCAGTTTCATTTACTCAATTATCTTGCTCAGAAGAGTTCTGTACATCATGGTGCATAATGGCGCCTTGTACGGAGCAGGAAATACTTGGTAAAAACAGTTAAGTCTCGCAGATCATTTAGAGTAAGACGAGGAAAATAAGGTAAGTGGTTCGGATTTAACTGAACCCATCTACCGTGCCTGGCTCTTAGACTTCCTGCTTCTACTCTCTACTAATGTTTTCGCATATTACCTATCGATTTAGAGGTATTGGCATTTTGTAAACAAATGCCTACGCCTTGAAGCAGTGAACCAACATCTCGATCTCCTCGGTCTTCTTTGAAAATGTCGCCCTCTTGAATCCACTGCCTCATACCATCTATGTTCCTTTCAAATTCGCGTTGTAACATTGCTAGGTACATCATTGTTACGTTAGCCAGAGAAATACGGCCCTTGTATGTGAAGTATAAAGGTATACCTATACCCGTTGGGAGCTACAATCAATTCAAGTTTTATCAAATGACGGCTCTATGCCAGTATGCCTGCAATAAGATAGCACAGAGCGCGGAAATTACTAGGGTTTCACGATGTTCAAGAAATTTCTTGTTCTTGACTTGAGCTTGACTTATCTTTGCTTGAATTCAAGAAAATTTCAAGTCAAGAAATCTGAAACTATTTTCAAGACAAGTCAAGATTTCTTGTCAAGAAACCAAGAAATTTTTGAATTTCTTGAAATAAACAGTTTTACAAGTTTCTGTAATAGTACCTATATTGAAATACAAGTTGCAGGCTGCCACAATAGCCTTCTGCAACGCGCATACTATTTTCTCGATTTTGTATTAGAACGTTTTTAGTTGCACATTATTTTCGCAAAATAGGTCAGTTGGTACAATTTAACTAACTTGTAGATATTCCTGATTTTTGAGCAGGTAGAACAAGTTTGTACAGAGTGTTTTAACAGGAAAAACATTCCAGACTAGATAGAGAAAAATTGACTATGATGTCATGAGTTCGATGTCCGAGAAACGTAAAAAACCGTATCTAGTAGAGCTATCCTATGAGCTATTGATATATAGGGTATCCTGTTAAAAAAAATCAGACTTTGGTCAATTATCTCGAAATCGGAGCAAAATAGAAAAAAACTGAGTACGTCACTGGATTGTGCTCAAAAAAGTATCCTCAACATGTTTTTACAGAAATAGAAAAATTCATAAATAAAAAACTTATAGCTATTTTTCAGAATAGGGAAAAATCGAAAATCGTCCTGTATCAATGGTACCATTGAAGATATCGCGATACGGTTTTTGACAATCGAAGTTTCTCGGAAATCGATCCTATGAAATCCAAGTCAATTTTTCTCTATCTGGTCTGGAAGTATGTTTTTCCTGTTAAAACACTCCAAATTCCAGCACCCAACGCGTTTTCGAAGTGTTTTCGAGAGCGACGTAGAAAAACAAAGATAGCTTATTTTCAAGCAATTTCAAGAAATTTCAAAATATCTTGATTTCAAGTCAAGAATTTTTCTTTCAAGAAGTTCGAGTTCTTGATCTTGAATTTCAAGTCAAGTCAAGAAATTACGTTCAAGTCAAGATTTCTCGTCTTGAGGAAACCCTAGAAATAACTGCTTTTATTTATGTACGAATACGTGCCGTCAATATACCTAGGTCTGCTCTCACAAGAGTCTCTGACAGTTTGCAACCTGTCAGAAAGCATCGCCCATATATGTTTTCAATGCCGTCGTTCCAAGATAAATCGGTAACTTATCTGGGCGATTATTTCTGACAGTTTGCAAACTGTTCATGAATGTCATTTCTACATTTTCATAAAGTGATCAAAAATTGAAGTGTGTTCATCTGATATCCTATAAACTTAACATAACTCGAAAATGGCTCGTTGGATTTTTTTGTGCCAATGATAATTTTTGTTTAAAATCTCCAGGAGCACAAAATATCCAAATTTCAGATAATTCCACCGAAAGCCATTTTCCATACGATTAGTGCAGGGTCCTTTCTGAACCTTTCTGTTGCATCGTTTTAAGTTGTATCTGAAAAAGCTGCTTTCAGTGTTGATTGAACTGACGTCTGTACATCGCCCACGATGTCTTATTGTCGTGTGATGGTGGTTTAATTCTATTGACGGTTGCAGGCGAAGATGAGACATTTCCGTATCTCCTCAAGTCACATTCAAACTTCTAAATTAATTTCTTCGCGAACACTCCCAACTTCTTCTAGTATTATTTCACCTTTTTTTTTTTCACACATTTTCTCGATTTCAAATCCCTTCTTTCTGAAATTAAAAAAAAATTCTGAAGCCGGTTTTGTTTTTCTTGTCTTCGGGCTTTTTCTTCTTCTTTCCGAGCTTCTTCATCATACCAAGCATTATGTCTTTGAGATTCCTTTTCTTGTTTTTATTTTGATCTCCGATTTTCTTGTTGTTGTAAGAGTGTTGCAAGCCGGTCCTATTCGTCTTTTTTTTGGGACTCTAATTCCTGTGCTTCTTCTTCCTGCCTTTTTTTTTATATTCGATCTTTTCATTGTAGTAAAAGTGCTGTGAGCTAGTCCTGACCTTCTCGTCTTTGTGTTTTCTTTTTTTTTGTCTTCGTCACTTTTCATGAAATCTACCAACATCTGATTAATCCACACAATTTCGGCTATTTGCTGTCGTGTGATCACTATAGAATACTCCCGAAAGTTGATTCGGTGACGAAGTCAAAATTCCCGTGCCTATACCTACGACCTTATTGTTTAATTCTCAAATACAACACTATGGAAGGATTTATAGATAACACTCTGTGAAATTGTGTTTCGATGTCAGAGCCGCTATAAAGTCACCATATCAGTTAAAAAAAAGAGTTCATTTGTTCCGCGACATCCGCAGCTCCTCTGAAAACTCACTTCATTAACAATAAGAACTTTTATTGAACTAACTTGACCCTATAAAATTTGCTGATCACCTGTCGCTTTCACATTATACAACAATTTTCTTATCTACATTGACTCCAAAGCACGCGTAGATAAATAAAATCAAATAGGGAAGTCTCTAGAATCAGTTGTTTGATTGAATACCTACACTTCGTAAACTTAAACAATTCAGAGGTAGAACTGGTAGACCTAAACAATCTCGCCTCGCCACCGATGCAATTTCGTAATAATGCTATGGCTAAAAATCGTCAGACAATATAAAGTGTCTTAAACATTTGGATAATTTGAATCGGGAAATTTCATTTCTTAGTGAGGTGAGGCCCAATGCTTAGAAAAGGAAACTTTGCATATAAATAATAGGAGGATTTATGAGTAGAATTCTTCCTTACGCCTCTACGGGTCAACCCGAAAACTCATCATCCTTTTCACGTCGAGGTGCTTTATAATTTATTATGTAATTAGGTACTCCTTAAAGTTTACATGCTTTATAATTTTCGCACCACATAAGCTCCATATGGAAAGAGATTTTCTAAAACTCGGTGGTTAAGCTTCGATGACCATCAGCGACTTGTTTATGATGCAGGAATTCATTGCGCGTGAATGTTCTATAGAATCGTTTTTGAGCACTTCTAGAGTCTCTCCTATCAATAGATGAGAAGAAGTCGATAACATATTCTTCACAACAATTAAATTAAACTTGATAGACGAAAATATTAAATTAACTGAAGTAGATTTTGTACTAATTTCATTCTATGTTTAGATTCTTTGGTTTGTGTCCATCAGTGCAATATCTGAAAGAACCACCTCAAGACTACGTCCGGTCGTATTGGAAGCATTGACTGCATTCTGATCGACTTTGGCGCGCTGTGCCGTGATTTCATTGGTCCCGTCTTTTTCAACCAGGAATGCGGTTCTTTAATCTTTTTTTTCATCATCTGCTTATAAATAAATAAAATAGTCTCCCAGCCCAGTTCCGAAGACGTTATTACGAAATATCGTTGTCGTCTTTTACGCTACCGTTTATGATTATTGAACTATACGAATTTATTTACTGGACATTCAAAGAAAACTAAAACTGAATAAAAAACGGTGCAATGATAACTTCAAACACGCAAGTAGCCCCAGCGAGAGGCTAAGTCGATTTTCTCTTATAGGAATGCCGCGTTTCTTACGGAATGTAGCCTTCGACCAGGTACCAAACACACCTGAGTTTAGTACAGTCTCTGAAGCTGTTCGCGGTACCCAACTTCGAAACACGTTCCATAGTACTACCGAAATCGTCCAACTTGTTTCGCTGACTGTACCAGCGAGTGGCGCGGTCGAACAATTCTGGTACTGGTACGACGGAGTGGGTACCGTGACCAGTACTCGATTGGTCGGCTACATTCCGATGATATTTTGCCTCAGAATGTACCTGACCGCTTGAAACTTAAAATAGGGAATTTAGTCGATGAACACCTAAGCCGGTTGACGGAAGGAAAGTGTGCTGCTTTGCAAAACACGTGGATTTTCCGGGACCATTTGTGTGTTTGTGTTTATCTGGTGGTTTGTTTATATTCTAGTGAAACTCTCTGTATTGGATTTTAATATTATTTATGGGCGCGAATGTGCATGTCCTTTGGATTTTAACTTAAACACATGGTAAGTTTTGGTTTATTACAACTTAGGTATATTATTGTTTTTAATTGATTTTAAATGTCATCTTGGGAAAAGGTAAAACTATTTATGGTAAAATGTTAATTTCGCTCCTTATTAAATTCGACACTACTACTGGGAAAGTCTTAACATTTAAATTATCGAAAGGAGGTTTAGATTCTTTTAGATTGTAAATGTGGAAGTCCCCTAATTTGTTCTTGTGTTTATTTTTAGCATTTTTGAATAAATTAATTTTGAATCTTAAATTAACAGCTAAATTTAGCATTGTCCTTCGTTATTGTTGTAAATATGTAAATGTGATGATATGTTTTTTGGTGCCATCATTGATTAACTAAATATTTATTGTTTTGACAATAAATAACTTTTATTTAGGTACCTATATAAGAGAACCTGGTAAAATAATATTAAAGATCAATGTTATACCAAAGTTTATGAACCTACCCCAAGCTTTAGGGATAATTTCAATGAAAGATTTTAAGAAAGATCATTAATTACCAATGATTTTCAGAGAACTTTGAACTTATCATTGAAATTATCCTGAACCATTTTCTTTGAATTTGTGAATAAATGTGGCACATTTTAAATCAACCCATGTTCACTCATACTCATTTTCACAGGAGTTATAGATTTTGATCAATTATTACAATCCATTTTCAAGTGGATGACTTGGATGAGGGTAAATTTAAATTGCGTCCATTTTAAAATTGTGTATCTATGTTTGTACCTAACATATGGGTGAAATTTATTTTTAAATTCTCAAGTTTGAGGTATTTGAGAGAAACGAACCTATAGGAACTAAAAAATCCAAAGCTTTATCAAAAAAGATTCGAAATTTATATAAAAGAATATACCTACCTATGTATTAACTTTGCAAAATTCTATGTTAATAAGCTTTTTGCACACAAAAAAGTCCATAGGTATACCTTATCACCTGAACTTTCTATTTTTTATGAAAATATTTTATTAAATTTTCACAGATCATTTCATCTCAACATGAGTTAGTATATTCTGCCACATAGTGTCTTCTTCAGGGGGATAGGTACTAACATCTTTTTAAATTTTCATCCTATTTTATTTTATACTCAAGTCGGATTATATTTGCCTAGGTGGTCAAGATCTCTATCTTCCACTCCCTTGCCAGCCCCTAGGCCACCCCCTACATCTGCTAAAGTAAGTTTATAGATATTTAAATTAGATTATGTAAAAAAGCTCCGATCTACGCGATTTTGTCAAGAAAACTCAAAAGAAGAATCACCTCTTCTGATATGCTTATTCTTAATTTTACTTAAATTTTGAAAGATAACTTGTAGGTAAGGAAGTATTATTTTCTATTAAAATTTGATTGACAAAATCGTATAACTGGTCGCCAAAGCCTAAGCTTTTAAATGTAATTTCAGATGTTAAATAAACAGGCGCCTATCTTTTAGCAGGTCTTGTTCATTTACATAACAAAAGTGATTATTGGCTTACATCTTAAAATTCCAAAGACAATTAGGAAAATTATTACTTCAATGCAATGCGCTAAAAGGTTTTTCGGAGTTGTCATGCTGATGATGGTTCGTATAAATTGAGTAATTATAATGAGGGCAAAGTTTATTTTGGCAAGTCTAAAGGGTATCATAGAAATATGGTGGTCAAAGGTAGAAAACAAGATTTAGTTGACAAGGTAGGTATTACAACCGAATCATTAAAACTAGCAAAAGTTTAAGTTTTGAGAGTATTTTTGGATGTAATGCAGAAAAAAACCAAATCAGCATAACACTATAAGTAGGATTCTTGTGAGCCTCTAATAGCACATAACATTCCACGTACAAAGCTACATACATTCACAGAAGCTACACGTTGGACATAAGGAATATTCTGTGAATGTTTCATAAGTTCAAATATTCCAAGAACATTCGGAGATAAGGGAAAAGCATTTTGAATGTTCTGTCAATATTTCATTGAACATTCAACGAATATTTTGGAGTGTTCAATATACGTTCAAGGCATCTGTTTTGATTTTTCAAAATGGTAGCTGAAGCTTCACCTGGATTCATGAAAACCTTTATTATATTTCTTAGTAGGCAGCACTAAATAAATTGTAGATTTGTTTAGCAATCATAAACCAGCAAAAAAATCCGATGTTTTGGAATATAACAGCTCTCAATACAATTTCGAAATTGTAAAAACGTTGAATGGCCCAGGCAGGACCTTGACATACGCAAAATGAAATAATTGCATCGCGAAAATAAAAATGTAACAGGGTCAGTCGCGAGGTCGTTGATCTCGGACATCACACAACAGCCAACCAACCAAGATGTGAATCGTGAAATTCGAAATTCGGTTGCAAGGCAATAATATACGTCCATCCGACAACCCGCACAGCCAGAAGCACGTCAGCAAGTTTCGAATTGAAGAGATATGTTTCGGTTTTGAGAACTCCTTGAAATTTGTTTCCTCAAATTAGGTATAGTGAAAACTCAATTGCATTGATGCATATAGTTTTTATTTCGTTAGCTGCTTTGTCAAATAATGTAAAATTCAATTAGAAAATCGCACAAATACCCATGATCGCCTTCTAAGTCTCTATGAGTTCACAACACTTTTATCTCAATAATAATGTCAGTGAAATAAGAATATGTATGTATAAATAAGACAATATATAGACCCCAATCAAGACACAGCGAATGATACAAAACGTTGGAAATGAAAATAATAAGAAGCATTCACGAAAAAAACATCAGTGGACAGAATTATAATTGAAAATCTTCAACAACTGATCAAGATACAAGACAGTAGGTATATGAACAAGGCAATGAAGAAAATACTTGAATAAACACACGAGAACAATGGATGGCCAGAAAAAAGGACAAAAATCGTGAAAGTGAAAAAGAACTCGGAGCAGACCACCTCAACGCTGGAAAGAATGTTGGACATCTACGTCTGAGAGGCATGAATGGAAACAACAAGCATTAGCCTACCTCACGCCTACCTGAATTGACACCCATATATACCTAATGTGTGACATAGAAATTGCAACACCTAGTAAATGTAAATATATTTTATTGATATTTTAGGAACTAGTTGGGATAAATATGAATAACAATCGATGATATATTCAAACAAATTTGTTGAAAGGAATTCTCTACGATTCAGTAGTGAGTTGCGCCTCCACGTAAGTTTTGACATTCTGTAACTCTTCGTGGCATGCTGCGAATCAGATGATAGATATATGTCTGTGATAGGTTCTCCTAGACTAAACTTACCTCATGGCGTAGACGTTGTACATCCAGTGGAAGATGTGGTAACTGCCTCAGCCTTCTACCCATCACATCCGAGGCATGCTCAATAGACGATAAGTCTGGTGACCTTGCGGACCATGGAAGAAGGGTTACAGCTTGTTGGAGGAAGTTTCTAGTAATTGAAAAATTGGATCTTGCATTGGAGATAGAGCAACGAGACAGGTTGTAAACGTTGATAATGTAGGATTGAGCGTTCATGTTTCCATCCAAAAAAAGCCATAACGCCCCTAGTAAGCGCAGTCTCACATTCTATGCAAATTTGAAGTTGGTGCCTTTCTCCACGTTTGCGACGGACTCTTCTACATCGCCGCACCTTCAACAGCTGCAAGATCCAATTTTTCAACAAGACCACATACCGCTGCAGTTACTAGAAACTTCCTCCAACAAGCTAATGTAAGCCTTCTTCCATGGCCCGCGAGGTTACCAGACTTATCGCCTATTGAGCATGTCTGGGATGTGATAGGAAGAAGGCTCTGGCAGTTGCCACATCTTCTACTGGATGTACAACGTCTACGTCATGAGGTAAGATTAGTCTGGGAAAACCTACCACACGGCACACGCAGATGTCGATCATCCGATTCGCAGCATGCCACGAAGAGTTATAGAATGTCAAAACTTACGTGGAGGCGCAACTCACTATTGAATTGTTAGAAATTTTTTCCAATTAATTTGTTTGAAAATGTCATCGATTGTTATTCATATTTATCCTAACTACTTCCGAAAATATCAATGTACATTTACTGGGTGTTACAATTTCTATTCACACAGTATATTAAGAAGACTAACGAAAAAGAGCAAGAACATTATTTTATCAAAAATAGGCCATGTGGTATAGAATCGAGACAATCATAACTATTCTACACGAAATGCTTTCACTCCGATTAGGCATGTCTATACAGTGAAATCAAAATGTGCTTTATTGTCAAAAAAACAAATTAATATTTATTGTCAAAGCATGTTCACCAATTTAAAAAATTATACCTATGTACCTAGATTTAAAAACTACCTACAAAATTCAACAAAATGAACACAAAGATATGAACAAATGTCAGTTTAGTCAAAATAAATATAAAATATACATTGACACATGAAACATATTGACATAAATGCTTAGCAAAACGTGTGGGTAAATAGTCAAGTTGGACAGGCAAGTCACAATGCATCCACGTAAAACTCACCCAAATCCTAATAGGCCTTACTAATCAGTGAATGAACACTTTTTAGACGATGTGTTCCGAAGATGGGCGGGCAAGTGATTAAAAATCTTTTTGCTTTCCAAGATCAGAGAGTCCTCAGTCAGTTGGCAAGGGCAAGTCAGGAACCTGACGCGTTTCTCACTGTGGTAGAAGTCCCACGATGGCTGCACGATTCTTGAACATTAACTCGAACACAAAAAGCGAGGTCAGAGTTAAAATTCTTTGTGAAACGACATAGGGTCTGCATGAGTGCCTCATCCCGATGCCTGCTATAAAACGTACAGATATTTCTGCGAAGACAAATAGCACATTTAGTGGGTACTTGCTACTGAGGCCCTAGAATGGAATTCCATATCGGAGGTGCGCGTCAAATAAAGCAAAGTAGACCGCCCGCAGTATATTAGTTCCCTATTGTCTCTCACGCCCAAAAGCCAGTCGAACTCACCAACTGCTCAATACCAGGCTATCCACGTTGCACCTGAAGCCAAGCACAGTAGTGGTCTTGTCAACATTAAAAACAAGTCTGTTAGCGTCACACCATCGCTTTATCAACTGAAAGCTGCAAGTCGTGAGAAATGGCACGACCCAAGACATCAACACTAGGACCATGCCAAACTATTAACATGTCGTCCACAAAAATTGTAAACTCCAGAGATCTCAACACGTGCTAGGTCGTTAATATTAGAAGGCAAAGAAGTGGCCCCAAAACAGACCCCTGATGAGGCAATCCACAACCAATCAGTATAATTGAAGGCTGTTCTCTAGAAACCACAACCAATGAACAACGTCGAGCAAGATAGGGGCTGAACCAACGCAGAGTCGTTCCTCTAACGCCATAACATTCGAGCTTGGACAGCAGTATTCCATGATCCACACAATCGAAAACCTTGGATAATTAGTTAAAATAGATGTATTTTGGAGATTAAAAACGGCGTCATGGGTTCCCATCAAGTCCCGGGAACCCAACTGTCTGGGAGAAAGGATCTCTTAGCTCGCAAAAAAATGCAAAGTTGAGCGTTCACCAACTTTTCCATGACCTTAGACAACGTTGACAAGAGAGAGATAAGGCGAAAGTTTGATGTTTATTTGTGTTACCACCCTTACGTAGAGGCAGAACAATTGCAGACTTCAAATAAGCTGGAAACAGAAGACCACGAGGTATCTATATCCAAGGTGCACGCTCAGCAGTATCCCTGCCCATTCTCATCATAAGATTTTTTGTTCGCTGTGTCTAGCCTCCCGGCCCCGGTATTCATACGAATCCCGGTTATGACGCGTTTTCGATGACTCCATCAACGACCGCCGGGATTTATCGTGGATCCCGGCTGTTGGATTCAAAATTCAAAGTCGTGTGTTTCTCTTGCTGCTGGAAGCTGTAAGTAAATAATTCCGAAATAGCTTTTGTGTATTATTGTTTCTTGTTGTGATATATTGGTTTTAGATTGGTAAGTACTTCGTTAATCCACTTTTCGTAGTAGTGGTTTAAAAAGGGAATAGTATGGTTTATTTTCATTCATTATTCAGGACTATAGCTTTTTTAGCAGCCTGTATCTCTGGAATAGGGTACTCTTGGACCCATGTTTATAGGAATTTTTGCTCTTAATTTGAGATGTAGAATCCTCAGTTAAAATATTAACCTCTCATTTTGGGGCACCATGTGCAATGTTGCTAAACATTAACGGCGTTGCTG